CTCCCAAGAACATAGGAGTAGGACTGCAGCTTAAATGCTACACATCATGAGGGCTAGAAGCTTGTGTTTAAGACGAAAGCATTCTTGATTTCAACAAGAGTGCATCCTGCCGAATCGTTCATGATAAAAGCAGGGAGGGGGCTTTATTCTGGCAAACACGAAAATAAATCAAACTCTCAAGCTGTAACCCAGCTTGCGTTGCATACTAAGTAATTAAAGGTGTGAGCTTTTGGGGAGGTTATGTTATCATTTCCCTAATGACTATAAAACCAGTTTTCTCGGGCTCTTTACATAGCTATAACCTCTTTATGATCTTTACTGCACTATCTGCCAGCTTTATATGCTTTCTTAACCTGTTCTTCAATACCCTTTTCATAATACACAGGGGGCTTTTCCTACCTGTTTCAGTGATGTTCTAATCAAAAGCCATCAAATATATATAGCCAATTCATTTGCAGAAAATCAAGCATATAAAATAGGGATGTGGCGAATTTCCAGTTACAGTACCTTGGATATACTGCAGGCCTATGCGTTTAGATTACAGTTGAGTTTACAACAGGGGGAAGGAAAAACCAACCTATCATGATCATTTATGGAGGTCTCTAGAGAGTTCTGGGACGCAGATGGCACTGTGGGTTAAACCACAGAGCCTAGGACTTGACGATCAGAAGGTCAGCGGTTCGAATCCCAGTGATGGGGTGAGCTCCCGTTGCTCGGTCCCAGCTTCTGCCAACCTAGCAGTTCGAAAGCACATCAAAGTGCAAATAGATAAATAGGTACCGCTTCGGCGGGAATGTAAACGGTGTTTCCGTGCACTGCTCTGGTTCGCCAGAAGCAGCTTAGTCATGCTGGCCACATGACCAGGAAGCTGTACGCCGGCTCCCTTGGCCAATAAAGCAAGATGAGCGCTGCAACCCCAGAGTCGGTCACGACCGGACCTAATGGTCAGGGGTACCTTTACCTTTACTAGAGAGTTCTAAAAAAATATGTCTGGAACATAGGAAGCTGCCTTATACCAAAACAGAATGATGCTCCATCTAGTTCAGTATTGTCTACACGGACTGGCAGCAAATTGAAAAGGGGGTCTTTCCCCGTCCTATAAGAAGATGCCAGAAACCGACAGAGAGAACACTATATATGCAATGTTCACAAGAATCAGTGGCTTATTTTGGTTCATATCTGGTCTTCATCTTGAGCTATGCCCTCCGCCGTCCTTGAAGGACGACTTAACAGATGTCAAGGAAATAAACAACTATCTGACTTTTAGAACACATCTGAAGACAGCCCTGTTTAGGGAAGTTTTTAATGTTTGATGTTTTATCATGTTTTAAATATTCTGCTGGGAGCCACCCAGATTGGCTGGGGAAACCCAGCCAGATGGGCGGGGTATAAATAATAAATTATTATTAATTATTATAACCGGGTACCATACGAAGATGGGGACATGGGTGGCACTGTGGGTTAAACCACAGAGCCTAGGACTTGCCGATCAGAAAGTCGGCGGTTTGAATCCCTGCGACATCAAACTGCAAGTAGATAAATAGGTACCACTCCGGCGGGAAGGTAAACGGCATTTCCGTGCACTGCTCTGGTTCTCCAGAAGTGGCTTAGTCATGCTGGCCACATGACCCAGAAGCTGTACGCTGGCTCCCTCGGCCAATAAAGCGAGATGAGCACCACAACCCCAGAGTCGGCCACGACTGGACCTAATGGTCAGGGGTCCCTTTACCTTTACCGTATGAAGACAGACTGAATATGTGGGCAACCGTGGGTGGAAGACATCTTGCACTATTCACTATATTGCCTACTAGACATTGGACCCAGGAAGCAATTTCTCACCTTAACGTCCGTATTGGAAAGATGTCTCTCTCCGGCAGAGAAGATCTTATGGCTTCTTAGCAATGCAAACACTTCAATGACTCATAAAGTCATCCTTTTTGCTTTGGTGGACAAAAAGTTCAGGAAGAAGACCCTGGGCCATATAGCAGTGAAATGTTAGGGAGACACAGAGATCTAAATAGAGACCACTATTTGCGGCGCGACACCCCTTTCTCTTGTATTTATTTTTGATTCAGATTTGCCATGGCCAATGGCTAGTACAATAAAGTTATTTGGATTGGGTTGGATTAGATTGGTCTTCATCTTGGAAAATTGTCTGAGGGCCAATAAATCTGTCATAGCAAAAGGGCAACCAAGACTCAGATTGTCTCCTTGTCCCCTGAGCTTTCCTTCATTACTCCCCTTTCTGGTTCTTTAAATACATGATGTATGGCTGATTCACTCCAAGGTTTGCAAAATTGGCCTTTGTTTTGGAGCCATTATAACACACCACAAATAGGTGCTGTTTAAATACATTATGAAAAGAATCTTGGCCTTGGTTTACCTTAATCTACTCAGATTAAGAGAGCCTTGAAGATGCTCTCAACAAACATGCTATCATCTTGCCAAGTGCTCACTCTAATGCTGTTAAAATATCCATCTATCACGGCCAATGGGACTTTGGAGACATGAGTGTTGCTTTTGACTGGCATCTGATTTTGATAGAAGATGTTCTGGACGGGGAAGGGGGACCTCCCCGTAGGAATTCTACATAATCAAACACGTCCTTCTTCTACGTTGTTTTTTTTATTTTTGGCAGAATGGCTGTCACATACAAATAAGCAGAGATTTCCCTCAACTGCTGTTCTCTAAAGGAACAAGCTAACAGTTGGGAACAGATTGGCCAGCATCGGCTTTTCCTCACAGAATTGTTAATGAGCTACCTGGAGAAATATCCTGCACAACAAAGTAGTTTTGAAGTCAGAACTCTCTGTCACTTTGGAGCCTCAGAAACCATATTGCATTTTGGGTTCTTAAAAAAAGCGAGATTTTGTTGTTCATATCTCGATAAATGTACTGCGGGTGCCAGAGCATAATGGCTACCAGAGAAGGGGGGGAGTCACCTTGAGCAGGTATCTCAGATCCCCAGTCCAAACAGAAACCTGTACCCCTTTTACATGGATTGAGGATAGTGAGAGGGGAACAGATTCCCTCATAATTTATAATTTTGTTGCTGAGTTATGGACCCAGTGCTATGACCTCAGGTGAAAGTTCTCTGGCATTGTACAATTTCAAGGTACAGTGGTACCTCAGTTCTCAAACATCTCCATTGCCAAACATTTTGGAAACCAAACGCCCCAAACCTGGAAGTAAATGCTTCCATTTTCGAATGCGCCTCAGAAGTTGAATAGCTTCCGCTGTGTGTTTTTCGATTTTCTCAATTGCATTTGCAGCCAGTCCTTTGCGCCTCAGTTTTCAAACATTTCGGAAGTTGAACGGTTTTTCGGAACAGATTACATTCGAGAACCGAGGTTCCTCCCAAGTCACAGGTGACGCTGTGGTCTAAACCACTGAGACTCTCAAGCTTGCCTATCAGAAGGTTGGTGCTTTGAATCTGCATGACGGGTTGAGCTCCCATTGCTCTGTCCCAGCTCCTGCCGACCTAGCAGTTTGAAAGCACACCAGCGCAAGTAGATAAATAGGTACCGCTGCAGTGGGAAGGTAAACGGCGTTTCCATGCACTCTGGTTTCCATCACGGTGTCTCGTTATGCCAGATGTGGTTTAGTCATGCTGGCCACATGACCTAGAAAGCTGTCTGTGGACAAATGCCAGCTCCCTTGGTCTGAAAGGCGAGATGTGCGCTGCACCCCATAGTTGCCTTTGACTGGACTTAACAGTCCTGTGGTCCTTTACCTTTACCTCTCAAGTCTAAGACAAAATTACATACAAGATGGTGTAAATCAGGAGAAATTTGCTCTAAAATCCTGGTGAATTTTCATGAGGACAGATTGCTCATTGGTGTGGCAATCTGGAGAATTGAATTTAAGATTGGAAGAAGGAGAGACTAAGAGAAACAAAAAAAAAAACCCCACAGATTTACCTATCTCTGGTTTCAAGCTTGCAAGGCCTTTCATCAGGGAAATCTAAGCCTACTGGCTTATCATGATATCCTTCCTCATTTAGCAAGTTGTATTTATCTAATGTATTTATTATTGCATTTATGGTATATCCCAATTTTCCTCGAAGGAGCTCAAGGTGGAGAACATGGCCCTACCCTTATACATATCACTCTCAGAACCACCCTGTGAGGTAAATCACATACCTTCCAAGTGTCCCAGTTTTCCAGGGGCAGTCCCGGAATTACAAAAGCCAATTACAAAAGCTTCTGATCTGATCCTGAAATGACTCTATTTCTCCTTCCAGTGCTGCTCTGCTTTCTTGGTGTGTGTTTTTTCTTTTTGTAAATCTACCAGAGAATAAAATAAAATCAGGATTAGGGGTTGTTGTTTTTCCAGGACAGTGGAAGGCATGTGTGCTGTGTCTTCAGATAGGAAATGTTCTGTGGGGGGTGGGACACCAAAAATAAGAGGTCAATGAGTGTCAGTTGGGGGTGGGGAAAATGAGAAATGTTCCTTATTTTCATTTGAGGAATGCTGGAGGGTATTAAATTAGGCTGTTAGTCCGTGAGCAGTCCAAGGTCACTTGGTGAGCTTCATGGCCAATGGAGGTTTGAACTCTGGTCTCTCTTGTCCTAGTCTAATACTGACCGCTTTATGGTTACTCTGACTTTGGAGCATACTTTAGAGGAAGGAGGATGAAAGGGAGGCAGCAGCTCAGAAAAATTGAAGGCTGGTGCGTTCACCAATGAACCCATCTGTTATTATGAGTAGGTCGGCTGGGAGAGGAAGCAAAGTTGCCGGTTAAAATAACAAACATGCAATGAAGGCCAGGGAGATGGAGGAGAAGGGAAAACAGTAATAGACATTTGTCTGAGCAGTAACAATGCAAGAAGGCCCCAAAATTCAAGTCTGACTCATAAGCATCAGCGATGCTGTGATACACCATGACACTTTCCATGGTGCTAACCTTTATCTAACTGTGAGAGCACACAGCCGCTCTGCTTCTTGTATTATTAAGAGCTTATTTCTTTGCCTGCACCGCTGGGCTCACTGGTTCAATTTCAAGTAGATTTCAAGTACAGTCGGCAGAAGAAAACATCCTTCGAGAGTGGCTTTGATTCAGGTAGGGAATGTAGGACTTGATTTTGGAGGGGAAACCTGATTGCTAGATCGCTGTGCCCCACCCCTGTCTGCCATTGCACAGAAGAACATACACGGCTCTCTGAGGCTTTGACTCTGCTAGAAACAGAGAACAGAAATTCTTGAGTCGAGGTGCATTTGTTGACATGCCTTATTTGAAATATCTGGGAATCTTGCAGACAGGTAATGCTCATTAAGCACAGTGGAAGACGGCTGCGTTTGTGTACCTCCAGAAAGTATGTGAACAGAAATAGATTAGAAGATGGAAAGAGACACCATTTAAGAAACAGTAATTCTCACAGGAGACTTTTAATAAAAATAAATAAATAAATAAATAAATAAATAAATAAATAAATAAATAAATAAATAAATTTATACCCTGCCTATCTGGCTGGGTTTACCCAGCCACTCTGGGTGGCTCCCAACAGAATATTAAAAACATTCTAGTTCTTTGAACAAGGGTGGGAAACAGGCCCAGGGGTCAAATGCACCCCCAGCTTTCTAGCCCCCAGGACTGACCAAAGGGCATACACCTTTCCCCTCTTGGGCTGGATATGCAAATGATATGAGACATTGCCTGTGTGTACTCCATGCTTTTTAAAAAATGCAGCTGAACCCAGACACTCAAAATTCTACATCAAGAAAAGTTGAATTCTGCATCTTGGGAGGAAATATGCAAATGGTGCAGAAGGATGCTTGTTAAATCGTATATCATCTAGACTGCAAGCTTTTGCACTCTTTCTTGGGAACAAGTCACATTATCATAGAATCTTAGAGTTGAAAGGGACCCAAGGGTCATCTAGTCCAACGCCCTGCAATGCAGGAATCTCAACTAAAGCATTCATGACAGATGGCCATCCGATCTCTGCTTTAAAACCTTCAAGGAAAGAGAGTCCACAACCTCCCTCCAGAGGGAGAGCGTTCCACTGTTGAACCGCTCTTGCTGCCACAAAGTTTCTCCTGATGTTTAATCAGAATTTCCTTTCTTGCAACTTGAGAAAGTACAAAGGAAATTAAATTCAATGGGACTCATTTCTGAGGACACACCCATAGGCTCAAACTGTAAATCTGCATTTTTCTGTCTCCTACTAATGCACTAATGCTTCATTTCAGGCTCCTGAAACTCTGCTTTAGCTGCCCCTCTGATTTCACAGTTTTCACCTGGCTTTGCCCACATACCTTCAAACATGTTCCATGGGGGCTAGAAACTTTGCCTTTAAGGTGAAAGCTGAGATTACTTCCAAAACTGGATTCTGTGCCCAGTGATACCATATTTTGCACTAACATGGAACAGAAGGATATGTATTAGGGTTGCCATATTTCAAAAATACGGACACAAAAGTCGTTGAGCTCTTTTTGGCCAATGCAAAGTTGTTGACATATAGCAACCCTTGGATACATACAAAATGGCATGTCCAAGCACAAGCTCTGCATAAAATCATGGTTAGGACTGATATTTCCCCGCCTCCTTCGTTCTTCTTGCTCATCCTCTAGCCCCCCATTCTATTTTATTTCATTCCTCTGTTGTAAGTTAACGCTGACTGTGTCGCTCAGCACAAACTTCACACAGCAAGTGACCTACTTTGGTATTTGTTATCCACCCGATTTGGGTAGAAGTGCAAAATAATGACTTGGCTCCATGCGCTGGCCTTTTTACCTTCAGAATGGACTTCTAAATCAAGCCCAGAGAGCACTGACTGAAAATCATTCGGGGGCTGTCTGCTCTAAAGGTCACCGCATGAAATAGTGCAAGATAAGTTTGCCCTAGTTTATAGTGGAGCAATCTCCATCACAAGGGGGCCACGGGAAGAAGTGCCACTTAATTCAGCTCATCCGGCACCTTCAGGGTCTGGGATGGCAATCGGAACAAGGGAAGCCAATGGGATCTGTCTCCAAGCTGAATGAATCAAGAAAAATACAGGCAGCAATGGCATAAAATATATGGAAGAAGACCTGTCTTGCACGTAGCTATTCTCAAAACAAGCATGCGGCATCCTTCAAGGTCTGCCAGGAAGGTCTTAATTTTCTGTCCGGTGGAAGATCAGATAATCATTGACTCAGTGTGGTTCAGACCCAGCACTGAAAATGGCACATCACATGGGAAAGTTAACCTCATCCCTCTGTTTCTCTTATGTACGCTGGGAGTAATTCTCTATCTTTATGGGATTTATGTTTTTGGCCTTCCACCCATCCCCACTTTCCAATTATTCATTAATTCTCTGATTAGCATTATTAATATAGTGCCTGTCATCCACGTACCTGACGATTCTATTGAACAGACTTTGGAGTGGCATTTGATGTCAGTGGACTAAATCTTCATTTTATATAGGGACAACATGTTGTGAACGGCATGGAGAGTCGGAGGCAGCACCGTGTGATCTACAAATCTTTCCATTCCAAGAAGCATGTTTGGACATCGGGAGAAGCAAATATGTGCCCACGCACAGGATGTCTCTCGGAATTGCATGCAGAGATCTGAGAGCCAGCAAATCTTGTTGAAGGAACACCCCCCCCAAAGGTGCGTGCAAAGGAAATTCAGCAGGGTCAGGTAGGAGGTGAACAAGCAGCACCCCAGGAGAGGAGAGCTTGAGGTTTGTTGAGGCGTAGATGAAAGAAGGCAACCCAAAGCCTTCTGCAGGATGTAGCTGGTTATTTGAGCATCGTCCTCCTGTCCTGTCCTTAGCCATGCGGTGTATTCTGTAAACAGAAAGTCTGGCAGGATTTGCAAGCCTTAGAGCAAATATTTTTCCCAATACCAGAAATATGGAATCGACCAGTGCTGCTCGTGGCGATGACTTCTATCTGCCTTGCTTCTTGCTGCCTGAATTGTCCTTTCTTCAGCTGCCTTGGTTCTAGGAGTTTGCACCCAGAGGCACATTTACCTAATCTGCAATTTATGAAATGATACACAAAATGCATTCGCTCCAAATGTGCACATTTCTGAATTTTGCAATGCACTTCTCTAAGTAAGTCGTCTGTACGAAAAGGCTTGTGTTAGGGTAAAGCATGCATCAAAAAATGCTCAAGTCTGTGAAAATGATGCATTTTATTAGGGGACATTGCTTTGCAGGCCCCCCCTCCCCCCCAAAAGGTATGTTAGGAGAAATTAATTCTGATTAATTTTCCTAAGGACTTTAAAAATGCATGGAACGGTGGTGAACTGAACTTGGAAAAATGAGAAAGTGAAATTGTCAGATTTAGAATGTGTACACTGGCAGCAAGGTACAGATGGGGATCATCAGCCTGGGAAGGTAACCCATACAGGAGAAGGAAAACTCTGATCCTAAACTCCCGATGCCTTGTGGGATATCTTCAGGAGAAGAAAAAGCTAAGGAGCAAACCCTACACAAATCCAGAGTGGAGACAGTTGGATAGCAACCTTGTACAGTGGTACCTCGGGTTACAGACACTTCAGGTTACAGGTGCTTCAGGTTACAGACTCTGCTAACCCAGAAATAGTACCTCAGGTTAAGAATTTTGCTTCAGGATGAGAACAGAAATCGTGCTCCAGCGGCGCGGCAGCAGCAGAAGGCCCCATTAGCTAAAGTGGTGTTTCAGGTTAAGAACAGTTTCAGGTTAAGAACAGACCTCCAGAACGAATTAAGTTCTTAACCCGAGGTACCACTGTACACCTCTTTCTGGCAACTCCTGTAGCCCAACTGGTGCCAAACATATTGCTTTGCTTTCCTTTGGACCACATCAGTGAGGCCGAGTGGGGCGGGGGTCACACGCATGATGTGCAATGTTGGTCACATTTTTGGAGGAGCCCCCCTCCTCCAAAACACGTGCAGGTCGCACATCCACGTTACAGTGGCGGGCACCCACAATCCTGAGATGGCACCCTGTTTGGTTTCTTGGTGAGGCCCATTCAGTCTGTCTGAATGTCCCAGGCATATGCTGTGGCCAACTACAAAGCCTTGCCTTGTCCATTAAGGGATGCTGGTGTAGCAATAAAACTGCTAGCACATTTGCAAAGTTAAGCAGGGTCTGGTTTGGTTTCAAAATGGATGGGGGACTGAGCATTGAGGAGGTTGGACTAGATGATACCTGGTTCTCTTCCAACTCTATGATTTTATAAGTGTTTCCTGCTTGGCAGGGGGTTGGACTCGATGGCCCTTGTGGTCTCTTCCAACCCTATGATTCTATGGTTCTATGATTCTATCTAGACCCCCATGGCGTTTCTCACCAGCAGGGCAAAGAAGAATTAAACTAAATGTTTCACCTCTATCCCCCTAACTCGAGTCATGTGCTAATAGAAACTTATGCAGTTGGATGGATGTTAACTTAAGGCAAAGAGGTGAGAGATCTTGCTGTCAAGCGGCCGTAAAATTTATCCTACCTTACGTTATTAAGTTTGGGATCTAAATCTGGCTTTTGTTCCAGCAGAAGCCTTAAGGGATCGTGGATAATTTCCAGCATATTTAGCAGAGTACACTGAGCCTTCCCTAAAGAGCAGTTCTCTTAATTGCTCGGGAGCGTTTCTGGACACATAATCCTGTCCTTAAATTACAAAGTGCTGAAACTGAGCCAGCTGCCACCCCCCACAATCTACGCAGAACGGCGTTGAAAAGACCCTTGGCGGGTCTTGCCATGTTATTGACATATTGCTCCTCTGCAAAGTTCACCGCCTTTCCAGAAAGGGATCTGTTTATTATAATACGAACATGCGCATGATCCCTGCCAGGCTTCACTTTAATCTCTGTTAAATAGCAGAGTTATTTCATAAGTAATTCCAAACACTGATGGAGCGCTAACATCCCAGGAGGGAGGCTAGACTCGGGCATTGTCTAATGCATTAGGAAGCTAATATAAGAAGGATTTGCCACAATTAGGAGTAGAGATTAGAAGGGATGCATGCAAAGTGTTTGACTAATAAAGAAAGCCTCTCCCTGCCCCATCTTTCCCACATGCGAAGTAGCAATTTTGTTCACTCTCTCAGCTGTTTAGTTTGTCCCTCTATTGCCATAATATCAGAGTATGTCTCCAGACCGTGGGTGGAACTCAACATATGAGTGCTAAGGCAAATGTTCCTTCAGAACAAGGTTTTCTGCTTGGGCAGCAGAACATTCTGTCCCTGTCCTCCATAAATAGCCTCTAAGGATTCCTCAAATTCTCTGGAACAGATTTATTTGTTTATGGCATTTATATTACCCACCTTTTACTCCAATGAGGTTAAGGTGTTGGACGTGATTCTTCCCCCTCCTCATTTAATCCCAAACATAGGCGCCAGCTCTTGGGAACTGAGGCACTTCCCCCCCCCCCATTATTATTTTTTGGGGGGGCCTCAATGTTCAGAAGGCATTCAGCTCTGCCTTCTGGCTCCTTGTGATGTCATGTGCTCAACATCAGGATGTCACAATGGGGCGCCTCAATCATCTATAGAAGTTGGTGCCTCAGATCCCAAAGCTTTGAGGTTGGTTAGTCTGAGAGGTGGCAACTGCCCCAAGGACACCCAGTGATAATCATGGCCAAGTGTCAGGGAACAGGCTGAGGAGGGCTGCACTGACCAGGTATGGTGGGAGCCACCCCCTCCCCTTGATCCTGATCCTGAATCTTCCCAGGAGCAGGAGGACAGTATAGATTTGGAACAGTGGTTTGCAGAGGGACACAGTTCAGAAGGCAGAAGCTGGGAAATACTGGATGGGGAACAGCTAGGAGAAGAAACATTGGGAGGGAGAGGGTTAACAGATTGATGGTCTCTGGACAGCATTCATCCGCTCTTCCCAAGGTCAAGAAGAGCTGAGAAAGTGGCAGAACAGAAAGCACACAAAGCACGGAGGGGACAAGCTCAGATTACAAGACGTAGAAGTGACGTGGAATAATAAGGACATAAGGGGTGGGACCCTTAATTGGGAGCACCGCCATTTCTAGGAGATGGGTTCTTTGTTCTCCTACTGTGATTATTAAAGTTTCTAACTGGTAGGAAGACTCCCTTTTCTTTGTTCTGCTTATCTACTGCCACAGGGAAGGAAGTGTCAGGAGCTCGTCCTTCTCTCGAGTAGGACCCTGGCAGAGACACATGCCCAACTAGCATATTCCCTCCCTCCTGGTCAATCGTTCAGGAGCTCGTTCGTGATGCCTGAACATCACAGCGACCGATGCCAACAGACATCAGCACACTTAGGGATCCGCAGAGTCTTCACAGCTTGCGTAACAGACCTCAGCAACTCAGCATTTTGGCTAATCTACTTTATTTACATATAAAGACACACGGAGCACTGCAACATGGCTACCTCTCTCTCTAGCATCAGACAGCAAAGAAAGAGAACAAAGGACAATAGTCCCACTTTACGGAACACAGTAACACAAACATCCTGTCTCTGTCATTTCCCACTTTGTGGAGTCAAACATACACCGTCATGTGATAGACAAAAATCCCATGACTGCAATCATGGAACAGGAATTCTAACAGGAAGCCAATTCCCTGAAGCCTGACACCAAGTGGGGATTTGAACCCTGGTCTTCCAGGTCCAGCATCATTACACTGCATTACACCGCAATTGCTCTCTGGAGAGGTTGCATGTGGGAGAAGGAGAGAGGGGGGTCCTGCTTTTGCAAGCAGAACTTGTTGTGCTGATGGGACTCATCAGTAGAATGCCACCTGGGTACTGGTATATCTTTTGAATGTTCAAAATCTTACCGACTCATAGAATTTTGCATTTGGAAGGGACCCCAAAGATCATCTAGTCCAACCCCTTACAATGCAATGAAATTTTTTTAGTTTAGACATTCAAATGTTGAATGCAACATTCAAATTTAAATTCTACCCCAAGGCTAAGTGTGATGCAGTGCAAGCCTGGTACATGTGTCTACTCAGAAGTAAGCCCCATTAGGTTCAATAGGACTTACTCCCCAGGTAATCCACACACACAAGATTGCAGCCTTAAATACATTGGCACCTCTTGATTGTTATGATTTCGGTAGGCGTCAAATTCGTGATCGGATAAACTGTCAGCTGTCAAGTACTGTCAAGTTTCAAATCCCATTGCGAATCAGTAAACAGTGCCGTGCACTAAACGCTGCTGCTTGCCAACTGTCAAGTGTTGTTAAATGCTACCAGATATTGATTTCAAACATCAGATGTCAAATGCAGATATCAAATATTGGGTGAACATTTGGCAAATGGAGAACGCCATGTAAATGTTGCAGACTGCCAAGGATCTCACTTGAATGAATGTTCCTCCACACCAAAACAACAACAAATCACCAAGATTGCTGCAGGTCAGAAACTGTCAGGTTGGGAAGAAAATGAGGTCAGGATTCTTTCTCCTAAGAGCTAGCTTTTTATGCAGAG